ACAACCATGGCGGCTGCGCCTGCCCTTACCGAACATGGGGGGCGAGTAGGAACTTCCGCTTCCGTCACTGCTTTACGAGACGCCTGATTCCCCGCTCCTAGCAGGCCCGTGCGGTATCGTTGCATGCTGGGAGATGTAGTCTCCAGGACTGGGTTGGAACACCGTGGCGCATTGCATGCTGGGGACAGGGAGAAAGTGGCGCTAGAGCACGGCATGCTGGGACTTGTAGGCGGAATGCAGCTAACCCAGGGATTTGTACCTAGTCTGCCTGGACAGTCGCACTAGAGTAGAGAGCACCCGGATGTGGGTGTGCATTTGGAATGAGCCCTGAGCCTCAAGTTTGAAAATCACGTGGTCCCCTTAATTAACTGCGACTGTTGCACCATTGCTGTAAAAGCCCCAGTTCTTGGAGTCTTGTGATTATTTTTGTTACCATCCGAAGTTTCTAGCCCTGGTGTTTTCGGAGGAAAGCCGGCAAATGTGACCTCCTGAAGGCTCAGTCTGCACTCTTCTGGAGTGGAGACTGATCTGCGATTTTTGGACGCTTGGGTTTTGGAGTTGTATTACTGCTGTCATCAGCCAGGGTTTCGGGGTTGCCCCAGTTAGTTCCTGACAGGTCCTCTTCTCCGTCGGTGATGATATACTTTTGGTTGCATGCGTGTGCTCCCTTTATCTAAAGTGTTAGACGCTGGGCACTTGGGTCAACACCGTGGATCTCTGAGAGCCCCCAGAAATGAGAGATTCAGACAAGGATGAAACCAATCAAGCAGGTTTAGTGCCAAATGCTATATGCATGAACAGTTATCAGCAGAAAGTCTCAACACCAAGCCACTGTGCATTCTGCAAATATTGACAATGTACCAACACATAGCAGGCCTATTGCCAAATGACAGATATTAACAGTGGGTAGCCAGTGTTAAGCCACTGTGCATTCTGTAAGTCGCTGCAATGACACCTGCTGTTTCAGGTGCCTAGTACACCCCCCCACCCCTCCTCCAGTCGGTCTGTGCTCAGCATTTGCGGTGCCTTTTTATAGACATGTACAAACAACATACATCACTTCTTTACATACTAGGTTGCCACCCTCTGTTGCCTAGTTACCACTCTTCACCTTATGGAAGGGGGGTTTACTATCTTTCATGCTGTCAACTTCGACCTGGTCCTGAACCTAGGTCGGTATGTACATTAGTTTTTGGGGAGTCTTTGGTACCAAGACATTTCTTATTAAGATGTTCCACTACTCCCCTTTGGCTTACATTCTGTACCTGGTGCCTCCCTGTGTCCTTCCATGCTCCACCTAACTTACACAATTACACAGTTATCAATAGGGCCTCTTTCTTGGCTCCTGCGTTACTGAACCAAAGTCTTGCTCACTAGATTCCAGGCCTGTTGCTGTTTTCATGTTACAGGCCTTTATTCAGGCCTGCTGACTCCATGTTACCAACCCTCAACTTACTACAACGGCCTTGTTGTATTTGCTGGCATCCCACCAAAAACCCCCAAACCCAACAACAAAAAGTGAAAGTCTGATTTTCATAGGTGCCAAGAATTCAAAGTGCCTACTGACTGAATGCAAATGATATCAGGAGCCAGCCCAAATTCCAGGCAGTGTGGCAAATAGGGGTGACTAGGCCCCAGCATCTGCCCTACTGCCCCTGCCCCTGCAGCCTCATCTCCCCAACATCTGGTGGTCACCATGCTACCAGCCCCAACGCACCAGATGGCACTGACAGAGGGTGGGGAATGAGGGGGTGGATAGGAAGTGTGGAGGGACCATCAGAAGGCAGGGAGAAGGGAGGTAGAAGAGGGCGTGGAATCCCAGGGGGGTGGTCAAGAGGTAGGGAGGGTTTAGTATGGGGTAGGGGGGTCCAGGCCATACCTGGCTGTTTAGGGGTGCACAGCCTCCCCTCCTCGGCCCTACATACAATTTCTGAACCCAACAGCAGCAGGTCCCCATGCTGTGGCCACAGGGCTGCCCCTCCTGCCCCTGCTCTGAGCACCGGCTCCATACTCCCATTGACCAGAAACCAGCCAAAGGGAGCAAGGGTGGGTCAGTGCCTGCAGCGAGAGCCCTGTGAAAAGTTTGCCCGCCCCAGATCTAGACGATCCTGACAGGCGTTTGTTTTAACTTGCTCTTAAAATCTCCAGTGATGGGAGATTCCACAACCTGTTGCTTGTTAGAGTCTACTTTTTCTTTTTTTAACTGCTTGGGCACACACTCTGTGAGGACATGGGAAACTTTTCATGGGCAACTGGGGAGGAAATGGGCAGGAAATAGGGCCTGGAGATCCCGGCGATTATCTGGTGTGCTTGCCTTAAGGACGTCTCAGTTTGACGCTGTTGTCAGTGACCTCCAGAGTTTTGATTTTTGTCCTTTCCGTGTCTCAAAACCCAGGACTTTCCCGTAGCAAACTGGCAGCATAGGCAAGTACAGCAGCTCTGGCGCGTGGACCCTGCTTGAGCTACAGCAACCTGAGCCACGTGCGAAGGGTTGTCGCCGCTTTTCCTGGGAGGGCTGCAGGATCTTTCATTCACACCCAGGCAGCCCGCTGGCCATGTCAGAACAGGAGCCGCAGAGGGCTGTGCTATGCCTCGGAACTGGACGAGATGGCCTCTGTCAAGGGCCCTTTCTGCCTGGCTTTCCTGAGTCGATGCACAAAGTCAGACCAGACCATCAGAACGGCCCTTCTAGCCTTCAAACCACACATTAGTGTCCTCTGTCCTGTGACCAGGCACGGCAGCAGCAGAGCATGAAGCCTTCTTTTCACCCCGCACAGGTAGGCACAGGATTCCACCTGCTGTTGAACAGCTCTCTGCTAGTCCCTGCATCAGTGGTTTTCAACCTTTCTTACTGGGGACCGAATTGAAAGAAAATAGTTGATGCCTGAGGCCCAGTGGAGCTGTGGCTAAGGGCTTTGAGGCGCAGGAGAGGGTTTAGGGCTTGAGTGCAGGGTTGGAGGCTGGGGGTGAGAGATTTGCAGTGTAGGAAAATCTCTGGACTGGGGTAAGGGTGCAGGATGGGGTCAGGGCTGGTGATGCAGGTATGAGATGGAGCTGTGGATGTGGGAGTTAGGGTGCAGGAGGCTCTGAGTTGGAGGTTTCAGGGCTGGGGCAGGGGATTGGGGCACAAGCAACTTGCAATGGCTTTTTTTTCAGGGGGTCCAAAGGCAGGTGTCTTGGCACCATTGACCACACTGTCCCAGAAGTGGCTAGAAACAGGACTCTTCCCTGCAGGCACGGATCCTCCCCAGCAGGAGCGGCCTGAGGCTGGCTACGGCAGCTGGTGCTCCAGGCAGAAGGCACGATCGGTGCCCCTGCTTGCACGGCCGTCAATAGCGGTGGCGTAATCACGGGGCGCCCCATGATATCATCATTGGGCGCCCGGGCCGGCGGTGCCCTAGGCAACTGCCTTGTTTGCCTAGCCTCACGGGCTGCCCCTGCTCTCCAGTTCCCTTTGGCTAGTTTCTGGTCAATGGGTATATCAAGCCGGTGCTCAGCCCCGTGGCCTTGCTGCTTAGGAGCCGGGCCTGTTGCTGGCCACTTCTGGGACGTGGCACGGTATCAGAACAAGTTGGGGTTGGCCCAGGCTCCCTGAGCGCTGAGCAAAGTGACCCAGCGCCTCACATTCTGCTACCCAGGCCTGGATTACAACCCAAACGTTGACAACCGCTGCCCCATAGAACGTGTCATCCACTCCACCCACTCTGCTGCTTTTTTCTGCTCACACCACCCATTTTCAATATGCAAAAAAAGAAAAAAAAAGAGTTTAGCTAGGGGGCTCCCATGAACTTTCTGCACCCCAAACCTGTCTGTGTGACCACATGAAATCTAAGATGAATTGCAAGCCTATCTTGGGTCTAGGACATATTCTGCCTTATGTACAGCCAATGCTTTTTTTGTAAACAAAAAACATGCTGGCACTAGAGTTGCTGAGAAAAAAAAAAGCAATGAATGTCAATTAACTGCCTTGGAAAGGGGAGAAAGCTGTTCCTAGCCTGAGCTTGTTCTCTGGGTTATGACAAGAGCACTGGCACGGAGGGAAGGATTATGTTCTCTTCTCTCCGGTGGATATATTGGCATAGGTCCTCCATTTCGAAACCCGCTGAGGAAGCCCTTTGAAAGGGCAAATACACGAGCCAGGCTGCATAGGTTCCCCTTCCTGGCTGGTCAGCCTTATTCTTTAACAAGCTATGGCAGATTTTTCTTCCTTGTAACCCAACCATAGCCACATTAGAACTGCCAGCTGAGGCATCACGCTGCTGAGTCAGAAAAGCCAAAGGTAGGCGTCCGCCTGGTAGCACAAAGCCCCACCATTTAGGGCCAGGGGTCAGCAGGAGGGAAAGGTGTGTGATTAATTGAATGAAAGATAAAGAAATGGAGATTAGGGGGATTAAAGGGCAAGGAAATAAAACAGTAACCAGGATGGCTACGTCTACACTGGCCCCTTTTCCGGAAGGGGCATGTAAATTTCACGAGTC